GCTGCAGGGCTGTTGACTTGTGTTTCCAGCCACAGCTCTGCTAACGAGCGGTTTGTGTGAACCCCTAACAGTGATATCCTGGGTTTCTGTATCCCCCCTGGGCCCGCCGGAGCCGGGAGCTCTTTAGAAACCATCCGCAACCCCCCCCCCCCAACCCCCGGGGTAGAGGGCGGCAGGGAAGTGGGACACATTGAGCTGCACAAGCGTGCAGGGTGGGTTTTCAACCAAGGACGGGCTCAAACTCAACTGCCCTGGGATGTTTCAAGTCCACTCGGAGCAGCTGGGAGCTGGGTTTTCACAGACCCCTGCACGGCAATCCAGTCGGTAATCGGCCAGGGTGCCAGCCCGAGGCCGCAGGGTGCGGAGAAGGCTCCAGCCCCAAGCTCCCTGGCACTGGGTCAGGCTCCAAACTGCTGATATTGATGTAACTAGCGAATAACGTGTGTCGAGCACCCCCTTGTGGTCTTGGCAGTAAATCTCGGTGGCCTTTTCCCTAGTGGCACAGGATGCCCACGACCCAGGAGACCGACGGCTTCCAAGTCAAGCGCCCTGGCGACGTCAATGTGAAATGCACCCTGCTGCTCATGCTGGATCACCAGGTGAGGCTCCAACTCCGCCGCTGCCCAGCCTGCCTGCCCTGGGGAAAGTCCCTCCCCTCTAGCAGCAGGTAATGGCATGGCTGACCCAGAGCACGGGGGGGTGGGGGGGTGACTGGCAGGGGCCATCCCTGGGGCAGATCTCCTGAGCAGCCCATCGAGTGACTTTAAGGAGCCATGGAGGGGGGGTCCCCACCAAACATACGTAAAAATACCTGGCATGTGGTGCATGCTGGGGCATCCCAAAGGCAAACCATCTGCTTGTCTTGAGCGGGCATAAAGCTCCCCCCAGGGAGGGCAGGTTCGGCAGCGTCTGCTGAGTGGGGGGATTCATTCCGGAGGCAGGCGGCACATCCTGCCAGTGTGTCGCCATCCCGCCCCCCCATCTCCTGTCCCTGTGCACCACCCGCTGGGGGTCCTGGGGCTGCCCCGTCAGCTGCACCCTGCCAGAGCCTGCTCTTCCTCTCTCTCGTCCCTGGTGGGTCTCTGAGGCCACCTGCTGACCCTCCCTGGATGGGGAGGGCACATGCTGGGTCCCACAGCTGGTGTGGCCCAGCCCCAGGCTTCATAAGCATGTATGGCCCTGAACAGTGAAGGAGCCAGGCCTGTCTTCCCCCCCCCCCCCCCCCCCAGTGAGGGTCCTTTCCCCATACGGGGGCTGGCTCCCATGGGACCGACTTCTCTCTCTGCATCCCCCCACAGCCCCAACCCCAGTGACTTGTTCTGCCCCTCCTGGCGGATAATCAGCAAGCGCACTGGAGAGTTTGGGCCTCTGCCAGGGGGTTAGTTGGCTGCCATGCAAGAGGGATGGGGGGCCACTCTCTTGCAGTGGCCTGTGGAGCCCTTGGCCAGTGGTTACCAGGTCACTGGGGACTAGGGTGACCAGACAGCAAATGTGAAAAATTGGGACGGGGGTGGGGGGTAATAGGAACCTATGTAAGAAAAAGCCCCCAAAATCGGGACTGTCCCTATAAAATTGGGACATCTGGTCACCCTACTGGGGACGGTGAGGAAGGCAGTGGCCAGGTGGGTCCATGAGAGGCTCTGTCCTTGCAGGGAGAAGATCAGTTCAGATCAGAGCACCCTGGTGGCCCAGGAAGACTACAGGTCCCAGCAGGCTGTGCTCCATCCCAATCCTATCAGCCCAGCCACACTGCATGCTGGGATAGCGCTTCTGGAGCTGCCCCAGCTCTGGGAGAAGTGCAGACAGCTCCCAGCTGGGCTGCGCCCATAGCCTGAATTTCGAATGGCAATAGCAAGCCAACCCCCCCCGCCCTCTAACCAGAAACCCCTCTAGACCCGGTGGGCCCACCCAGGGAACAGGGGTGGCTGCAGACCGCTCCATTCTCGGCGGGCTTGGTGCAGCTCTGTCGGCAGGTGGTGCTGGGAGGGAGCGCCCAGGCCCTCCCTGGAGGACGCTGTCTCCCTATCTGTGTCTCATTGCAGCCTCCGCAGTATAAACTGGACCCTCGCCTGGCTCGCCTGCTGGGCGTCCACACCCAGACCCGGGCCAGCATCATGCAGGCCCTGTGGCTCTACATCAAACACAACAAGCTGCAGGACAGTCACGAGAAGGAGTACATCAACTGCAACCGCTACTTCCGCCAGGTGGGCCTGGGGCTCCCCGCTCCCTGGGCTGCAGCCAGCCCCGCCTGGCCCTGTCCTCCCTCCGCAGAGACCCACCCCTTGTCCCCGCCCTTCGCCAGCCTCGGCTCAACCCTGGCCCTGCCGTGCAGAAACGGGTCAGCATCCTGCCGCAGGGCCCAGGGTGGGCGAGGGGACGGTGACTCTGGGCCGGGCCCAGGGCTGCAGGGGGGCTCTGGGGGAGGAGTGCTGAGGAGCAGGCGGCCCCCAGGCCCCACTCCCCGTGAGTGTCACTGAAGCGTTTACCCGCCTTACGCCAGCAGATGGTGATCTGGTCCCTGTCCATATTGGAGGCTGGGTCCCATTCCCCTGCGCTCCTCTCATGGGCTGAAGGAACCTCCTCACGGGGGCTGCTAATGCTCTGACTTCCCTCCCGCCCCTAGATCTTTAGCTGCATTCGCATGCGATTCTCCGAGATCCCCATGAAGCTGGCAGGCCTGCTGCAGCATCCGGATCCCATCATCATCAACCACATGATCAGGTAGGGCAGAGCATAGCCCCTGATGTCTGCTCTGGGGCTGGGACTTATCTGGGCCGGGCTGGGGTTGGGTTGCTTCTGGGATTCTTTTCTTCAGTGTGCTCAGACTGGATGGGCCATGTACGTGGGGATGGGCAGGAGTGGCTGGCTCTGGAGCGGGAGATGGGAACGGATGGCATCGGCTGGAGGAGGTCAGGGGTTGGGGCACAGAAACCCCCTTGGGAGCTGCCACCCAATGTACCAAGACTACCCCTGCTCCTGTTTTCCCTGCCAGCTTAGGACTCCCGCACCCCGTCTTGCTGAATTAGACACTCCCGTCTGCTCCAACACAGACCCAGGGTCTGAATCACTTGTCCCAAAGCTGCAAGTTTACCTGAAAACAGCTCACAGAAGTGTGCTTGTCTTTGGCACTCAGATGCCCAACTCCCAATGGGGTCTAAACCCAGATAAATCCGTTTTACCCTGTATACAGCTTATGCAGGGCAAACTCATAAATTGTTCGCCCTCTATAACACTGATAGAGAGATATGCACAGTTGTTTGCTCCCCCAGGTATTAATACATGCTCTGAGTAAATTACTAAATAAAAAGTGATTTTATTAAATACAGACAGTAGGATTTAAGTGATTCCAAGTAGTAACAGACAGAACAAAGTAAGTCACCAAGCAAAATAAAATAAAATGCGCAAATCTATGTCTAATCAAACTAAATACAGATAATCTCACCCTCAGAGATGCTTCAGTAAGTTTTTCTCAGACTGGACACCTTCCAGGCCTGGGCACAATTCTTTCCCCTGGTACAGCTCTTGTTCCAGCTCAGGTGGTAGCTAGGGGATTCTTCATGATGGCTCCTCTCTCCCTCTGTTCTCTTCCACCCCTTTATATATCTTTTGCATAAGGCGGGAACCCTTTGTCCCTCTGGGTTTTCACCCCCCCTCACTGGAAAAGCACCAGGTTAAAGATGGATTCCAGTTCTGGTGACATGATCACATGTCACTGCAAGACTTCATTACTCACTTGCCAACACACACATATACAGGGAGACTCACAGGTAAACACAGCCATCTGCAGACAATGGGAGTCATCAAGATTCCAAACCATCATTAATGGCCCACACTTTACATAATTACAATAGGCCCTCAGAGTTACATTTTATATTTCTAGTTTTAGATACAAGAGTGGTACATTTATACAAATAGGATGATCACACTCAGTAGATTATGAGCTTTGTAATGATACCTTACACGAGACCTTTTGCACGAAGCATATCCCATTTGCATTATAGTCACTTATTATCAAATTTTTATAAAACTATCCCAGTTACATTATATTCACTTATTATGTTTTTATAAAACCATATAGACTGCACAACGTCACAGGGCCAGAGCACCGGTTCCAGCCTGGCCCCAGGGTGTGGTGAGCTCTGTGCAGCTCATTCTGTTTCTTGCCAGGCTGGTTTTGTGGGGGGTGGGGCTGCATGTGACCGTGTCTCCAGCTGGGGGGCTGGCTGCTGTTTGCAAAGTGCCAGGTGTGGGTCCTAACCGCCAGCCTCCCCTCACCCCCCAGCGTGGATCCCAACGACCAGAAGAAGACGGCCTGCTACGACATTGATGTCGAGGTGGATGACCCCTTGAAAGCTCAGATGAGCAACTTCCTGGCCTCCACCACCAACCAGCAGGAAATCGCCTCCCTGGATACCAAGGTTTGGGGCGGCCCAGTCCTTGCCCGTCTGTAGAGAGCAGGAGTCCTGCTGTTGCGAGTGGCGGAGCCTGAGGCTGTGAATGGCTGGGGTCCTGGCTTGCTGCAGGGTCACCAGTCAGTGCAGAAGGCGCCATGTCCCAGAGCGCAACGCAGCATGCAGCTCGCCCCCAGCCCAGGCAGGGAGATGCTAATGGGGTGCCCAATGGATTGGGGGTGGGGGGCTGCTTGGAAGCAGGGACCAGGCAGCCAGAGGGAGCCGTTAGAAATTGTCTTTCTTGTCTGCTCTCCCCATGCTTCCAGTTCGACAGGCCTGAGCTCTCCATTGCCAGTAGGGGCTGGGGCAGCTGGGGCATGTCTGCATCGTGGGGTGAGCCCATCAGCTGGGGGTGTCTGCAGCAGCGAGAGAGTCCCCGGGGCGGACACGGAGCTACCCACCTGGAGGGCGGAAGGGCTGCGAAGGGGAGAACTGGTATCAGGCTGTCAGTAGACTCAGGCAGATGTTGCTGCACCAGTCACCCCGATTCATGTTTTCAAGCTTCCCCCTCCCCCATACGGGTTAGACCCCTGTTGTTTGAGTAATGGCTGAGATCCCGGCTCTGGGCGAGGCCTGCACAGCACCCGAACCTTGGGCGGGAATCTGCCGCTTCTAGCTTGGAGCTGTGCACTGCACTGGGCCTCTCAGTGCGCCAAGCCATTGGCCACCGAGGGGAGCAGGAAATGGGCCCCTGGTCGGATTCACTGCGCCATCTGAGCTGCGTGCCAGGCCAGCAGACAGGGAGCAGGGCACCTGGGCCGCAGGCCAGCAGCCTCTCACCGAGCGAGCGAGATTCAGTCCCGGTGCGGGCTCCCCTGACCCTCCTCCTGCCCCGTTGGCACGCTGCGCTCCGCAGGCTGGCCTAGCCAGCCCTGCCCTGGGAGTCCAGAGCCGCCTGCCCGGGGCCCGGCCATGCAGGGTAGGATTAAGGAAGGAGTCGGGGCTGGGAACTGGAATCCCTGGTGCTAGCTAAATAAATAAATTAATGGAGATATCCTATCTCCTAGAACTGGAAGGGACTTTTGAAAGGTCATCGAGTCCAGCCCCCTGCCTTCACTAGCAGGACCAAGTACTGATTTTGCCCCAGATCCCTAAGTGGCCCCCTCAAGGATTGAACTCACAACCCTGGGTTTAGCAGGCCAATGCTCAAACCACTGAGCTATCCCTCTCCCCTTCTGCCAGGGGAGAGTCTAACCCCTAGAACAGTGGTTCCCAAACTGGGGTTTGCGAACCCCTGGGGGTTCGCAGAACGTTACAGGGGGTTCGCCAGAAAAATTTCACTAATGGCGGACAGAGGACCCCAGGCATTGGAGACAGCAGGTGGGACCCGGTTGCAGGGCAGACACCCGAGCCCCAGGGAGAGTGGGGCCAGGCAGTTGGGGCTGGCAGCCCGAGCCCTGCCATCAGCGGGGGAGCCAGCAGCCCGAACCCCAGCACTCCGCGCGGGGCTGGCAGCCCGAGCCCCAGGGAGAGCGGGGCTGGTCAGTTGGGGCCGGCAGCTCGAGCCCTGCCCCCGTCAGCGTGGGAGCCGGTAGCCTGAACCCCAGTGCTCCCCATGCAGGGCTGGCAGCCCGAGCCCTGCCATCAGCGGGGGAGCCAGCAGCCCGAACCCCAGCACTCCGCGCGGGGCTGGCAGCCTGAGCCCCAGGGAGAGCGGGGCTGGTCAGTTGGGGCTGGCAGCCCGAGCCCTGCCCCCGTCAGCGTGGGAGCCGGCAGCCCGAACCTGAGCCCCAGGAAGAGTGGGGCCCGGCAGTTGGGGCTGGCAGCCCGAGCCCTGCCCCCGTCAGCCTGAACCCCAGCCCAAGCCCCAGGAAGAGCGGGGCCCGGCAGTTGGGGCATCCATCACACTGAGGAAATTTAAACGTAAATCCCTGGAAATATTCATTTTTAGGAGGGGGTTCACGAGATTTCACAATTTAGTGAAAGGGGTTCGTGGGCTGTTAAATTTTGGGAACCACTGCCCTAGAAGATGGGGGAGGAGGCTCCTTCTGTGTCCGACGCTAGGCTGGGGGGCGGGTTAACCCCTCTGCACCTCAGCTCCAGGGACTTGGGCCTGGCTTTATGCTGTGCTGCTACCCCATGTGTTCCTGAGCCTTGGCACCAGGAGGGAGAGGGCTCCGCTCATTTCTTGCTGAGCCTTCCCTTGGGTCCCCGCCCAGCCTTTCCCCTGTGCTTGGAGCCTTTTACAGACAATTGCAAGCAAAACGGCCAAGCCAGCCCTGTCCCGGCTGGGTCCGTCTCACCCGCTTTCTCTTGCTAGATCCACGAGACCATTGAGTCCATCAACCAGCTGAAGACGCAGCGAGATTTCATGCTGAGCTTCAGCAACAACCCGCAGGACTTCATTCAGGAATGGATCAAATCCCAGAGGAGGGACCTCAAGGTAGAGCTGGGGCCCCTCTGGAGAGCCGAGTCGCTGCTGAGCAGGGGCTGGGGCCTGGCGTTACCATGCAGGGTAATGCAGTAACAGCCCCCTGCAGCATGGGGCCCACGCTGCCCAGTGCAGTAGCCAGCCCAGCAGCCATGGGGTGTCTCCCCCCGGACGCGTGCCCTGCCCTGCGGGACGTGCGATCGTGCTGGCAGGGGCGGGGTGTCCGGGAAGCCTGCTGTGGGCCCTGGGATGGCAGCAGCTGCCCATGAGCCCAGCAGTCTGCGTCCCACTGATGATCTCCTCCTCCCCATGCCGTGTTGCAGATCATAACAGACGTGATTGGGAACCCCGAGGAGGAGAGACGAGCCGACTTCTACCATCAGCCTTGGGCGCAGGAGGCTGCGGGGAGGCACATCTTTGCCAAGGTGGGGATTCTTGCCGCGCGGACTAGGCTCCCTGGGTTGGCCCCTTAGCTCTTCCCAGCGAATGCCAGAGGAGTGGGCAGAGCCCCAGGTTCCGGTCACTCTGCCCCTTTTCCTGTGAGCCCAGGGTTCGAACCTGCCCCACCCTGGAGCTGAGCCAGGTCTGGGACGTCCAGCTGGGAACTGAGCGGTTTCTGAAGGATCAGTGCTCAGCCCCTCCCATCCCCCCCCCCCCCCCCCCCCCCCCCCCCCCAGCTCTGTCCCTGCCCTTCTCCTGCAGGCCAGCCAGGAGCAGGCAGCTTCCCAGCCAGCAGTGAACCTGGCAAGACCCTGGTCAGTTTCACTGGGTGGGCATGAAAGTGATCCAGCCCTGTGGGTTTCACTCTCAGCTGCCTAGAGAGGCGGCAGGTACTGGAGTCCTCCCCCTGGAGGAAGGACTGGAGGGTGGAGAGCTCTGGGAAGTCTGGATTAGGTAGGATCTGCCCCACAGCATGCTGTGGGAATGGCCTGAAGCCAGGGCCAGAGCAGTGAGCATGGAGGGGGAGTGGGGGGCTTCAGGCCTGCTGTCTAAAATCCTGAGCAGTCAGGGAACGTACCTCCCCCTTCCCAGCACCGGGGCCTCGGCTTGGTGCTGCGGTTCTCGAGTGGCGGCTGAGCTCAGGTTCCTGCTTCCATGCCAGTGAGACCCTCAGAAGTGGAGAATGCCCCAGAGGGGCAAGAGAGCCTGTGCCCATCCGATGCTCCCCCAGCCAGCCCTGCCCTTCTCCCAGGCCCCGCCCCACCTCATGCCTCTTGTGCCTTTCAGGTTCAGCAGCGCAGACAGGAACTGGAACAAGTGCTTGGGATTCGCCTCACCTAATGGGCTGGGCACGGCTCCGGGGCTTGGCGCTCTCCTTGAGTGCCTGAGCCTGACGGTACATCTGACTGGAATGAAATACAGCACTTGCACAAAGCTCTGAGCCTCTAGTGTCCCCAGGGGCTCCCAGCCCTGCGGCTTCTCTGAATCGGCGCTCGCCGAAGGCACGGGGTGCAGCCTCTGCCTTTTCCCTGCCCCTTTACTGCATTACTGGCCTAGCTTGCTGCCTTCGCGCCTCTCCCCGTAGTGTTCATTGCAGGCTCGGTGCTCCTCCCCTGGCAACCAGAGCTTCCCCCTCCCCTGGCAACCCAGCCTTCCCCCTTCCCTCCCTCCCCTGGGAACCAGAGCTTCCCCCTTCCCTTCGAACCAGAGCTTCCCCTTCCCCTGGGAACCAGGGCTTTCCCCTCCTCCCCTGCCTGGGCCAGAGCCTTGCTCGAGTCGCTGACCAGAGGGTACGAGCTCTCCCTGAGCTGAAGCCAAGGGGCCTCCTAGGCACTTCTCCATCCTGAGCGATGTGGCCAGAACATCACAACAGCCCCACGGGCTCCTGAGCTTCAGCACGGGGAGGGCCAAGGGCTTCGCCTGCTTCCCGCTGAGCCTGTGCCAGCCTCTCCCCTGCGTGCGGAGGGCAGGCAGCTGCTGGCACTTTTGAAACCAAAGCTTTGTCCATTCCAAAGGCCGGCCGAGCTGGCGTTGTGTTTTGCACTATGTTTGTGAGCAGGGTTTATAAAACGAAGCCTTTTGTACAGTGGGTTTGTATTTGATTAATAGACGAGGTTTCCCCCTAGTCCTGCGCTCACCCCTAAACCTATGCAATGGGTTCACTTAGTCTGAGTCTCTGACAATCAGCTGAATGTTCCAGCCTCCCTCCTCTCACATCCAGCGGGTGGGGGGCTGCTGGGGCAGGGGCCGGAAGAGGGGGCTGTGCCGACTGGCTGCAGACTCCATTACTCAGGGCAGTGCACATAGGACTAGACCAAGTGGAGAAGCCAGTGTCTCTGTTCCAGCAAAGGTGACACCGTGAGCTGGGCTCTCCCATGTGCCTTAGCACCCCCCCCCCCCACCAATGCTGCCCTGGCAGGAGGGAACAGGGGCTGTTTCCTGGGGGGCAGGGCAGCCCTGCATGGTAGAATTAGGCAGGCAGGAGAGGGTGGGTGTTTACAGACGTGCGGGCTGGGGCTGGCAGTGAGGCTTGGGCCACCTGCTCTTGTAACCATTTTGTCTGGGTTGGATATTTTCTAATAAAAATATTTAGCAGCAGCTTGTGCCAGTGTCTCCTTCCTCACCACCAGCTGAGCAGCCGCAGCCCTGCCCCAAGGGTAACCAGCGGGGGGAGGAGGCTGGAGCAGAGTCCCTGGCTGCAGCCAGGAAACAGGAGCTCAAAGGCCAAGGGAGTAACAGTGTCAATACTTCCCTCCTTGCACAGCCGCACATCCCTGCGGTGGACACAGGGCAAAGTCCAGCTCGAGCCCATCTCACGGCCTGGGCTTCGGCTGTTAAAGGCAGGGTGAGAACAGACTGCACCAAGCCCTGGCTGGCCACTGTGTCCCCTTCGCCACTTGGAAACTCACTGCTGGCTGCTCAGTCCCCATCACCCAGCCTAGGCTCCTTGCTCTGGAACCTAAGGGGGAGTGAGGGGTCCCAGCCGCTTTCCCCTGTTAATATCCCTCCCCCCAACAGCCAGAGTCGGGGGGGGGTAACTCAGCCAGCACAGAGCTTTATTAAAGAAAAGGTGAGGGGGCCAGTACCCAGCAGCACAAAGGGGTCAGGCCCCTGGTTACTTCCAGAGCTTCTTGATGGACATGTTCTTCTCGCTGTCCTTCTGCATCACCTGGGTGGGGGGAGAAGGGAAGGGTTAGGCCCTGCTTCTGGCACTCAGCCCCGGCCTGAGGTCACCTGCATGCTTCCTCCGCCACTGTCCTGATCCCCGCCTGCAGCAGGAACCAGGCTGGGCCCCTGGAGCCTGCCTTGCAGGGATCCTTCCTGGTGCCCCATCCGGGCAGGGGCAGGAGCCCGTATCCAGCTTAGGGTGCGGCACTGTCTAGGCCGCAGTCCCCTTGGCATTCACCCAAGGCAGGGCAAGGACAGCACCAGTAAAATCCCACCCCCCAACGTGCACAGACTCGGGGAAGAAAACAGCTGCTGGGGAGCAGGTTGCCCCAGGCCAGCCCCCTAGAGCAGCAGCGTCTCTGTGCAGAAGGGAGGCCCCAGGGGTTGCCTCTAAAGCCAGTTAACTCCCCTCTCTGCTGCTCTGACTTCACACTGCGACTCGGCCACAGCCAGAGCCGTTCCGGAGCGGCCAGCACGGAACTGGGAGCCTAGGATCTGCCCGAGGGAGCAGACTGGGACGCTACCAGCACCTGGGCCCGCCACGGCAGAGCCAGGGGGATTTCTGATTTTACCACTTGAGTGGTGCTGGTACCTGTGGAACTCCCAGCCAAAGGGGCATGGGGTGAAAGTCCCCCACGGGGTTTTATTGTGGGCCCTTGTTTCGGCAGCATGGGGACGGGCGCATGAGCAGCCTCCATCTACCTCCGGGGGGCCCCTCATTTCTTTGCATTCCTTCAGCCTGTCTCTCCCCCCGCCCCCCTTTCGGGGAGAACAGGGCTGGTTTCTGGCAGTCCCTGCAGCTCTGAACAGCCCTGGCCTTCAGTCCCTGGGGGGGGGGCTGTCCCCCTTCTCTGGCAGGGCAGCCACTTCCAGCTGGACCGGGGGCAGGGCCAGCAGCCCGGAGGAACAGAAGAGCCTGCAGTTGGTCCCTTAAAGCGCCTGGTGCACTGAAGCCACCGCCCCCACCCGCTGCTGGGGCAGCACGAGGCAGATTTTACCTTGGCTACGGCCATTTCAAAATCTTCCTGTGTAACATGCACCCTCCTCTCCCTCAGGGCGTACATGCCGGCTTCCGTGCACACCCCCTGCAAGGGCACAAGAGCAAGGAAGAACAGTCACTCCCCTTTCTGCACAGCCCCACCCGCCCAGCCTCACACGGGGAAAGCAGTTCCCCGCAGCGTGTGACAGAGGAGTCCTGTACGTCTCCTGGCGATCTGCCCGCTGCATCCACTCCATCCCTCCAGGGGAACGCAGTGTGCTCAGCACAGCCCGAAAGGGCCCCAGCCTGCCCCTGGAACAGGCAAGGAGCAGGCATGTGACAGCTCACTGGAAGCTAGTCCTGGCTCAAAGCCCCCTCCAGAGCTAATCAGGAGCAGCTGCTCCCTGTCCCACCGGCCTGTAGCGCTCCAGGCCCAGCTACTCACCTTCACCTCAGCCCCCGACGCTCCTGGCATCAGCTCCGCAATTTTACGCAGATTGATCCCCCGCGTCAGGTTCATTTTCCGAGAGTGGATCTTGAGAATGTCTAGGCGAGCCTGTGGGGAGAGCCCCAGCAAGGGGGGGTGAGGGCCAAGAGGGGGGCCTGCACCCGAGAGGTCAGGGAACAGCCAGCACAGGGGGGGGAGAATGTCTGTGGGGCCAGGCTGGGACTCAGACACTACAGAAACAGAGTTTGGCCCTGGCCCACAGGGGGATGCCCTGCTGACCGGTAGCACTGGGAGCCTGCGAGGGGCCTGCCACAGGGGAACGCCCCCATTACCTCTTCATTTGGAGGCGGGAACTCGATCTTCCTGTCGATGCGGCCCGGGCGCAGCAGAGCAGAGTCCAGGATGTCTATCCGGTTAGTGGCCATGATCACCTGCAAGGGAGGAGGCGGTCACTGCAAAGGAGCTGGGGCTTTATCCCGCAGGGAGGGGCTTGGGGGGCCAGCCATGCCAAGCCACCTGGCTTCAGCTCCCAGCTGGGAAATGGGGCAGCCGAATCCCCTCCTCCCCTGAGCCTGGGGGAGGGGTGCCAGCCTAGCCCAGGGGGGAGACCCGCGAGAAGTCACGCCAGGCTCTACGCACCTTAATGTTCTTCGTGGCCTCGAAGCCATCGAGCTGGTTGAGGAGCTCCAGCATGGTGCGCTGCACCTCGCTGTCCCCCCCGGAGCCGCCCTCCAGGCGCGAGGAGCCGATGGAGTCGATCTCGTCCATAAAGATAATGGAGGGCGCGTGTTCCCTGGCCATCACAAAGAGCTCCCGCACCATGCGCGCGCCTGAGGGCAAAGCAGAGGGGCCCCTGAACGCCCTGCCGTAGGACGGCGCACAGCCCCCCACAGCTCTGCAGCCCCAGGGCTGAGCCCCGGCCCCGTTCTCACTGCAGGGACCGAGAGCTCCTGCTACGCGCTGGTCAGCGCAGCCCTGGGGCTGGGCCACTTGGAAAGACGTCAAGAACCAGCCTTCGCTCCATTGTGAGGACTGACCATTGTAACATGGGCAACGGGACATTGGGACCTTCTGAAAGCTCCTGAGATGCACCATATTGGTTACTGAAACGTTGATAATTACTCTTCGGCCTGAACACAGGCCGGGATAATTTCAACTTGAATTTCATAATTTCATGGTCTTTTTAAAGAGAAAAATGTATTTCATTACAGCACCTAATCCCATTTCGTAGGGTTTTTGTAACCATTGTATTTTATCCCCCCTGGCCCCAGCTCTTCAGAACAAGAACACGGGCCCCATGGCCGCAGCCGTGAGGGGGCCACACCGCCCCCTGCCCCTGTGACCTGCCACCAGGGCTTCGCAGAGGGACAGCTTGGGGATGGGGGGGTTAAACTCACATCCCCCCCCCCCAGTTCCCACATCCACACTTACCCTCGCCAATGAACTTCTGCACCAGCTCCGAGCCCGAGACGCGGATGAAGGTGCAGTCAGTGTGGTGAGCCACAGCCCTGGCAAGCAGGGTCTTCCCGGTGCCGGGCGGTCCGTAGAGCAGCACGCCCTGCAATGGCCAGGCCAGCGTCGTTAGCCGAGGCGCTCGGTGCAGGAGCCGCACTGCACAGCCCGGCACAGACATGGGCATTTGGTGCCACCTAGTGGGCGATTTACTCATAAACCCCATCCAGGGCCCAGTAGGACGGGGCCCAAACCATGCGTCCAGGACCACACGCCCGGGGTGCAGCTGCCAGTGCCAGGCCCCGTGCCGCCAGATGGGGGAAGCCTGGCTTTGGACAGGTGGGGACGGACCAGGCCTGCGGCGCACTCAAGGATTCGTGCCATGAGGACGCCGTTCACTGGGGGGCTGCTCAAGCTCTGCCTCCTCCGGCAAGGGCAGCAGGGGGCGCTGTGCTAGGAAGCGGCTGCATTCCCTGAGGCTCACCCCCTCCTCCACATGGGCGAGGAGCTGCCATCCCCCAGGCAAGGCTGAGGCAGGAGAAGAGTACCCACTCTTGGCCTTGGCCTTGCTGCAGCTGCCAGCAGGGAGCCGTGATGGGCTCTGGCAGGGAAAAGGGCCGTCACAGCTGCTTCCCACTGGGAGCATCTAGGCCCTTGGAGCAGCCGTCCCTCCCCCCAGCTAGCATTGCAGGGGAGTGCACAGGGGCCGAGCCTCTCCTTTGGCAGGCACTGGGATCCCACCCACTCAGTGACTGGTTCCCTGCTCCCTCCCCCGGCACGGCCAGAGAACCGGAGCAAGTCGCAGGGGAGAGTGGGAGCTGCTCCGTCGTCCCCATTACTGGGAACTGGTAACGAATCTCCTTCCCCTCCCCGCTCCATGGGGTGGTGGGAACCATCCAGGGGAGGGAGAGGGCTCCCTTCTCCCTGCCAGCCTCGCCCGGAAGCCTGGCAGAGCACCAGCCCCCAGCAGTGCAGGGCTGTTTTCTGCGCAGTTCTAAGCAGCAGATGTGAGCTGCCCAGGGCTGGCAGAGTCCCCTCCTTGTGGCGGGTGGCAGGGCACGTGCTGGGAGTCCTGCCCCGGAGAGCGCTTGCCTTGGGCTGGGCGATCCCCAGGGCCTCAAAGAGCTCCGGGTGTTTGACGGGCAGCTCGATCACTTCCTTGATCTCCTTGATCTGCTTGTCCAAGCCGCCAATCATCTCGTAGGTGGAGTCCGGGACCTTCTCCACCATCATCAGGGACACCAGTGGGTCCACTTTGTTGGGCAGGATTTTGTGGAGCGTGTAGCTGTCGTTCCTCAGCGCCACGCGGCAGTTCGGGGTCACCTGTGGAGACAGACGGGCAGGAGCTCACCGCCGGCCCCCCTCACCTTCAGCACTCGCAGCGCCCCGGCCTATGCACCCAGCCTGGGCACCTCCCCAGCAAGAGCTGGGCCGCCGGGCAGCTGCTGGGGCAGGGGCGTGGCCCGGCCGGGCAGCAGCAGCTGGTGGGACCTCTGCTGCCCCCGGCAGGCTGGTGACGACGGGCACAAGGGAAGGCAGCTGCGGCCAAGCTGCCCCCCTCTTCCCCCAGCACGGGGCGCGCTGCTCCGAGGGGTGGGTTCACCGGAGGCCTGGTACTCACATCATTGATGTCAATGTTTTTATCAACATCCACCACAAACTTCCCTTCTGGGTGAACCTGGAATACAGAGAGCAGAGACCTGTGGGGTGGGGCTGGGGCAGCACACGCAGCTCTCCCCCCGCCCCGCTCCAGCGCGTGCGCACAGCCTCCCCATCCCATCCCCAGCCGGTGGGCACAGGCCCCCTCCCCCGCCCACTCATCCCCAGCCAGCGAGCACAGCCCCCCCACCCCACCCACTCATCCCCAGCCCGTGGGCACAGCCCCCACAGACCCCCCAGGGGGAAGAAGAGCCCAGCAAAGTGCCCAGGGGGTGGGGTGGGGGGCTGCTCCTGCTCAAGCCTTTTCTAATACCCCGTCCCGCCCACTGGGCCGAGACGGTTCCACAGCCCAACAAAACATGCTGGTAACCAGCTTCTCCGCAGAGCCAGCCCCTGGGATTCAGCCCACCCCCCCAGGCCATCTCGAACGACTCTCCTCCCCATCGGAGGGAGCGTCTAGCACCCCTCGGCGCTGGGAGGGGGACAGATGGCTCCTTGCTGCCCCACAGATTTGCAGTGTGCTGGCAGCCCGAGGGCAGTTCACCCTCCCCCTGCCCCCACCTGCTCCAGGGCAGGCCCCCGGGGTTTCTGTCCCCAGGCTCATTCGGGGAGTGAGCCCACCAGCAGCCAGGAGAGCTACGGTCCCTGCCCTGAGCTCATGAGCCTGGCCGACCACCCACCCACAAACCCCGGGCACTGCTCGGCCCTGGGAAGCAGCGCCCCAGCTCCGTACCTTGACAAGCACCTTCTTCTTATCCATGGCCCGCACCACCTCGCCGACGTAGGAGCCCTGCTCCTGCAGCAGCTGCAGCTCCTCCCGCAACAGGCGTACTGCAGCGCAACAAGGAGCCGTGAGCCCCAGCCCTGCCCGCCCACCACGGGGCGCACAGGCCAGCTGCCGCTCAGAGGGCCCCCGTTCAGGGCCCAAGCAGAGAGGGCATTTTCAGGACAGGTCATTAATTCAGAGGGGGCAGGCGCTGCTAACTCCCCACATGTGCCAGCCCAGCCCCCGGGGACACAGCAGCCATGCTCCGGAGTCAGCGCCGGCTTCCGTCTCAGCCAGGGGTCAGAGCCGGCACCCTGCCTTTGTATCCCTGGGAGAGCATGCCTGGGGAGCGGGGCGCCCGGCTGTCCCGCTGTGACCACCGGGAACCCAAGAGATCACCCAGCCTCCCTCCCTGGCAGAATGGGGAACAATCCAACCCTCCCTCTCACGGTACGCTCTGGACACCCTTTGCATCCCACCCAGCAGGCGGCCGCCCCCCCCCCCGGCAGGGGACGTCACGTTCTTGTTTTCAAAGCACCAATTCAGGGGGAATCGAGCACACGGAATGGGGATGAGGCGGGGGAGGCCGGCGGGAGCTCTACCTTTGGCATTCAGCTCGTTCCTCTGCGCTTGCAGGCGGCGGAGATTCTGGCTCTTCTCGTTCACGATGAGCTTTGGGGAGAGGGGGAAGGGATAAGCCCACAGGAGCCCAGGGGTCCCCCTGCACAACCGGCCCCAGCACGGCACCTCGCTCTGGTCGGCTCGCTCCTGAACAGGGGCTAACCACCAGTCTAGCAGCTAGGAAGTGCCCACGCGTCTCCAGTGGGCAATGCGCAGGTGCCTCCCTGGGGAGCGCTAGGCCACTGTTCCCGCCTCACGCCCGTCACTAGAGCAGCCCTTGCACCGAATCCCCCCCAGCATCTCCAGCGTGAACCGCTTGGGAAAGCAGCCGGCACTGGAACGGGGACCCAGCTCTGAGCATCTCTTACCACGTGGTCTGCACCCAAAGCCAGACTAACGGCCTCCCCTCTCTGCCAGGAACAAGGAACATTTCCCCTTTGAAGGGGTTTGCTCGTCACTTTGTCCCTGCTGCAGGAGTGGGGGTACCACCACCAACCCTGACACCCTGAAACCTGGGCAAGGGGCCCCCTTCCCAATCTGTTATTGGGCATGCGCCGCTCTGCTCTGAGAAACAACGGTCAAAACGGCCCCTTCTAGCCCTGCCTTCCGCAGAGTCAGGCCAGCCGGCTTTGGAGACGCCTGCCACTGAC